AATCCCAGCACTTGGGAGGTTGAGCCTGAAGTATCATTGAGATTTCAAGGCCAGCCTGAACTACACAGTGAAACCCTGTCTCAAAAAGACCAAAGACAGAGAGAGAGGAAAAGACAGACAGAGAGACAGAAACAGAGACAGAGACAAACAGAGTTTAAGTTGCCCTGGCTGGCGTTGAAATTGATCAATCCCCCTGCCTCAGCCTCCTGAGTAGCTAGAATTACAGGTAAACAACAACATACTCAGCCAACATAGTATTTTTTAACTAAGATAGGTGTTATGATTTACATCTAGATATTTCCCCGAAGCCTCAGGGGGTCATATGTGGGGCTTTACACAAGTGGCTGGATCTAGAGTGTGTGACGCTGAGATCAAGGATGTGATACTGTGATTGATTGATTCATGGTACAATGCCAGGATTAAAGGCGCTCCACCCTAGGTGTGAGCGCTGCCTGCACTAAGAGTGAAAAAGGTAATTAAGACCGTATGTACATTTTTTTCAAATAATGCATGGCATGCTTAATACTACAGCATAGTATAAACATAACTTTCTATGCACTGAGAAATTAAAAAATCCTGTGACTCATTTTACTGCAACTTTCTCTTTATTATAGTGCCTAGAACTCTACTAGGCAGGGCTTCTCAGTTTTCAGACAGAAAATCAAAACCACTGGATCTCTACACATGCCTATATTTAATCACTCCTTTTCTATGAAAATTCAGAATTCTCCCACAATTTTGCTGAGGTGATGCTAGAATAAATAACCCTGAAGTGCACAATGCTACAGACTCAAAGTTTATGCTTCTCCACACACACACTCTCAAATTCCTGTGCTGAATCCTAAGCCCAAGGCAACGTGATCAGGCCAAGAGGGCTCTCCATGACTCGACTTCGTGCCCTCCCAGGAGACTTCACAGCACTCCCTCGCCCTCCACCATGTGAGCACACAGTGGGGAGACACTGCCTCTGCCTGTAACTGATCTCAGGTCCCACAACCACGAACAGTAAACTGGTGTTTGTAACCCACCCAGGCTATAGTGTTCAGTTACAGCAGCCTACATGAAGACAGATGACTATGTCTATATTCAATCTCCATCCTCCTGTGTGATGATTTTAATAGCGAGCTACACACAGAAAGAAATCTAGGAAAATGCTCTAGGCTCCCTTAAGCCTGGCTGCATGCACTCTGCACAGAGGTAGAATGTGGAAGACTCTAGGACACAAACCTGAGTTCACACGAGCACAGATGGCCACCCTTCCACCAGCCAGAACAGGCAGGCCTCACTGGACACCACTGTAGGCATGTACAACCCACCAGCTGCATACAGCCACGGACAGTGCAGCATGCAGACCTGCAATGCGCTAAGATTTTACCTGGACATGATTTTTAGCACTATATTCATGACTGGAGGCTGCAGTGCTCCAGTGCCAACTCACTAGGCAATAACGGCGCACTGGACAGGGAGGATAGGCAACAGCACTAACTGTGCCTCCTGAGCCTAGAACACAGTTGGTAGGACCAAAACCCAAGTGTAACAACATATGTCTCATGTACTCGTGTGACTTTGGAACTAAAACATAGCAATGACCAGTGACTGTATTTCAACTTAACTACACATTGTGGGTTTATAAAGAGAGGGCTTATTGTTATTAAGCAGACAAATAAGTTTTCTTATTTGTTTAACTTGGGCTTGTGCTATTTTATAAAATAGTAAGTCAGGCATGGTGACACAAACCTATAATCACAGCATGTGGAAGGCTGAGCCAGGAAGACTACCATAAATTGAAGGCCAGCTTAGGCCACATAGTGAGTTCAAGACCTGCATGAATTATAAAACAAGATCTTATCTCAAAGTTAACAAATAGGGCTGGGGAGATGGCTCAGTGGAATAAGTGCTTCCCTGGCAAGCACAAGGGTCTGAGTTCAATCCCCAATTCTGCCAAAAAAAAAAAAAAAAAAAAAAAAAAATCAAAGTAAACAAATAAATAAAAATAATAAACTTGGATATAAAAAAGGAAGTTGTATTACTTAGACACATTAAGTACATTGTATATCTTATATGCACCCCATGACAATTTCCTCACTTAATGGAGCCCAGGGAAGCCCAAAGGATGGACACCCATAACCTTGAGAATTCAGAAGACAATAAATAATACCATGCACATACCCTATCAAAGCTTAAAAACAAGTTTCTGAATGATGAGGATGACCTATGAACAAATTAATTGCCTACAACCAAACTCTTTAAAGGAAGAAAACAAAATCCAAAAGACTGAACACACAATATGTATGTCTAACATCCAATCAAAATTTACCAGATACATAAAGAGGCAGATGTGATTCCAAAATCAGAATACAATTCAATGAACAAAAACAAAGCAGTGTGCTATGCTGGCCCCGCCCCCAGGATGTGCTGAGACTGCAAATGAGACTAGGCGTGGTGGCACATGCCTATAACCCCAGTGCATGGGAGGCTGGAAACAGGAGGATCACTACAAGTCCAATCTGTGTAGTAAGAAACTGTAGACCCTGTACTAGATACGTAAGAAAGAGAGAAAGAGAGAGACAGAAAATGGACTCAGCAAATAAAAACTTTAAATAGACAAAAATAAAAGGACTTAAAGGAAAAAAACAAAGGCAAACATCAAAACCATAAAAAAAGAATCAAAGGAATTTACAGAAGTGAAAAACAGTATCTGAATCCAAGATTCACTGGATGAATTTAAAGATTAGACACTAAAAGAAGAAAGAGCAAAATAAAAATAAAAATAAAGAAAGATGGCAAATTTGAAGACAGGACACTAGAAACTATCTCCAAGGAAGCACAAAGAGAAAAGTACCTATAAACAAAACCACCAGAGCAAATCAAAAAGGACTGAAACTACTGATAAACAGAGGGGGGGCAGGACCTTCATCAGGTAATGGGAACAAACAATCTTAACAAATTTCTCATCAGAAGCAACACAAACTAGAAAACAACACAACGACATTCTTTAAAATGCCTGGGGAGAAAGTGTCAACCTGAAATTCTATACCCAACAAAAAATCCTCAGAAATAATAATAAAACAAAGACATTTTCTGACAACAAAGGTTAGAAGAATTTCTCACTTTCTGCTCTACATCAAATATTAACAAAGTTTTTGAAGCTAAAAGGAAACACCAGATCTGTCACTCTACCTTATACCTCCCTCCACTTTCAGACCTCAAAACCTTATTTCACTGCCTTTTCTTCCAGAAAACTATACTCAAGACCTCCTCCCCTTCTCTATCAACTTGGTTCACCCATACCCAACAACTATTTCCTCTGAACCCCATTATTTAGCTGAATCTTTAGACTGCAGTCAGAACTTATCTGAGTTCTTTCATAAAACTTATTTTCCCCTACTCTCTGTTGGTTTTTTTGTTTTTTGTTTTTTTTTGTTTTGTTTTGTTTTTTTGGGGGGAGTTGTTTTTTGGGGTCTTTTTGAAACAGGGTTTCACTGAGGTTCAGTCTGGCCTTGAGCACACTCTGTAGCCCAGCCTTGAACTCACAGCAATCCTCCTGCCTCAGCTTCCCAAGTGCTGGGATTACAGGCATGTACCACCATTCCTGGCACCTACCTACTATTTTATAAGTCATTCTAAATTGTTAACTAGGAATAAGACTCAAATACTCCATAAAAATAGCTCAGATAGTGGTAGGAATAGGAAGAACAGAAGGGAAGTAGAAGGCTTGGGGTGCCAACACATTAAAAAAAGAATACAAATTTTCCAAGAAGCAAACCCCAGGATCACAGCTGTGCTGCAGACACTGCTGGTCCCTCCTGCTCTGACTGCAGGGAGAACAGTGGGACTCCTACAGAGTACCTAGGAAACATGTTCTGAACTTGAGTCCAAGCATAGAACATGACTTGAGTCAGGAAAACCTTGTGTCTTAATATAGCTCTGCCACACAACAGCTACCTGACCTTTGGCTCACTTATAATGCACAAGAGATCATATATGGTACTGCATACCTGCAATCCCAGCACTTGGGAGGCTGAGGCAGGAGGATCACCATGAATTCAAAATCAGCCTAGAAATGGGCCAGCCAAGATAGCTCAGTGGACTAAGGGCCTGCTTAGGCAAGTGTAGGCACTGGGGTTCAATCCCCGGCACCACATGCCGTGACAGCCTCACCCTCAGGTGCACTGAGACAGGGTATGGTGGTGCACACTTGTAATCTCAGCACTGGGGAGGCAGAAAACAGGAGGATCACTATAAGTCAGAGCTATGTAGTAAGATCCTGTACCAAATACATATATACATACGTGCATGCATATATACATACATACATACATAATTTTTTTAAAAAAGACTAGAATAGAGTCCCTGTCTCAAAAATAAATCCAAAAGTAAATAAATAAATGAAAATAAAATCCACAAGAACCTTATGAGTTAGGATCACAGAAAAAGCTCTATTTGCCCAAGTCACTACACTTGAAAATCCAGGCCTCTGTAGGTACACATCCCTTGGACACCGTGAGCACATACCCTAAAGTATTCTAGCAGGAAAAAGAACATAAAAAGTAAAGATGCTATGCACAAGACTCTGGGTTCAATCTCTGGTATGAAAAAAAAACAAGAAGAGGCGCCTGCCTGACAAGCACAAGGTCCTAGGTTTGATCCCAGTACCAAATAAATAAAAAAGAAAATGGGGGAAAAAAAAAGAAGAAGAAGAAAGAAAATGGAGATGCTGAAACCCCTACATAGAAATGTGAGTTCTTGGGGGACCCTCATTTCAGCTCTGGCCCTCAGTTAACTGCACAGACCATTACTGTGCCTCACAATGAGAAAAGGAAGAAGACTGAAGCCAACTGAGTCCCCATCCCATACAAGTGAAGGACCCACGACTGCAAACTACAAAGACGGAACTAAACAATGTTAAGATAAAGAACCCGTGTTTCACAAAGTGAGACTAATTACAAACTCAACCACCAGGTGCCAGGGCACAGAAGCTACAGAGGAACAATTCCTACCTGGGGCGCTCCGGGGGCTCTGCAGGGGTTTCAGCAGCACCCGCAATGGCTCTTGACACCTCTTTCTCCAAGCCCTGGGCCCCCTCAGGCTTGGCTACCTGTGGGCCGGGCGGCTGCACCTTCTCTACCTCCTGAGGCCCAGCTGCCCCAGCTGACTCTGTAGCAGAGTCGATCTCTATTTCTTGGACTGGGACTGGGACCAGTTCCTTCTCAGCAGCAGTGGACCCCACAGCCTTGGCCTCCTCTTCTTCCTTTATTCTGATTTTCTCTTCAAGTTCCTTCCTCCTCTTTTCATCATCTTGACGAGCCATGTGATCGAAGGTTTTGAATACCTAAAAACAAACAGCAATCCAGCAATCAGTTAATTTGCCCAGTACTGCACCACACATTCTTGAGAAATGCAGAATAAGGTAAGTACAGAATTTAAAAGTAGTGAACAACAAAAAGAACTTTACAAAACACAAATGCACTATAACTTTACCAAAAGTTGACAGGAAAATCTTCTTCCACAGAAAGGCTCCAAAGTCAAAAACTACCAAGGCTAACAGTAGTACAGTAGTAACATACATAAAGGACACACAGCTAAACAGTCTTTTTCTTTTCTTTTTTTTTTTT